GCAATGAGTGAGGAGCCCAGCTGTGGGTTACCAGGGCAACCAGGGAAGGTCAGCTGACCAGAAGGGCAGGGCCTGGCTCCCTTATAAACCCTAAGGGCTGGGGCCAGAGACAGTTCACTGCCAGCAGCCCAGGAGGAAAGAGCTCTCTGCTATGGGAGAGAGGGGAAGCCTGATACAGGAGCAGCATCTAACATTGCTGAGAGCTAAAGGGTACCGGTAGGATTGAACGTTGTTATGGCCGGACAGCTTCTATTTAAGTTATAGCCGATGGGCTTGCATTTTGTGTTGCTGTTTATCACTGGTGGTTTGGGTGAGCCTATTAGGGGTTGGAGGAGGCCTCATGGGGGACCCACAGCTGTGTGGGAACCCCCGCACCAGCAAGGGTGCAGCATTGGGGGTGCATAGACCCCAGCCCCAGAGAGGGGGCGTTGCTGAGAAGCCCCAGTGCGGGCATGGTGAGCCCCCAGAGGAGGGGCAGCATTACTGAGGAGCCCCCAGAGGAGGGGCAGCATTACTGAGGAGGCCCTGGAGAGAGGGCAGCACTTTAGAGGAGGCCCTGGAGAGAGGGCGGCACTGGAGAAGACCCCCGAGAGAGGGCGGCACTGTAGAGAAGGCCCCAGAGGAGGGCTGCGCTACAGAGAGAAGGCCCCAGAGGAGGGCTGCGCTACTGAGAGAAGGCCCCAGAATGGGGTAGCGCTTGAGGATCCCCAGAGAAGGGGGCAGTAATACTGAGGAGCCCCAGAGAGGGGGGCGGCATTACTGAGGAGCCCGGAGGGAGGGCACGGAGAGAGAGAGACAGGGCTGCAGAGAGCCCAAGTGCCAGAGAGGGCGTGAACACCAGAGAGAGGGACAGAATAACGTCCATTACATCTGCAAGGCTTGGGGCATGGTATTGGGGTGGTAGGAGCCACACACAGCCCCTAAGGCTGGGGTGCCCTTTACAGCACCATTTACAGAACGGGACCCCGAGGGGTCCGGGAAACCATGGGGTCATAGGATGCAACGAGAAGTGACCAAGAGGGCGTAAAGGCAGCCTCCCTAACATATTTGAACATCTAAGACGTGGCGGGCGAGAAACTGAGGGTGCCCTTGGGCCAACTTGGCACGGGAAGGGGGCCTTGAGGAGATCACGGCCCTCCTGCAGGACCCCGCCGGTGACATTTTCATTAACAGAAGAATGACAGTGGTATGTGTAAATGAGAGCCTACAGGACATCCAAAAGGTAAAGTCCAATATAGTATTTGACATTCTCTGGAGTCAGTTACCAACCCCTTTCTGGAAGAAAAAAGCCGACTTGCATATATTTGTATCCAGCTGAAGGAGTTTATTTTCTATACTATTCCCATTTTTCAGCCTCCAGAAAACATAAACCAAGTGTACCTACCGACATTTTTTCTGTGAGAGTGATCTTTTCAGTCATACATATTTTGCAAACCTAACACTGGCTTGCATTTATATAGCACATTTCATTCCAAAGTATCCCAAAGTCTTTTTCAAATTTAAATTAGCGGAATATACACCTGCCCACTACTCTGATGCAGACTCATAAAATACATGAATTATTTAACAAACTATAGCAGCCTACACAACATTTAGGACAGGAAGTGAAGGAGGATGGAGTATCACATTGAACACAGGCATAATTTAAAGTGTCAAAATGGAGTAAGTAGAGCTGCACCTACGTGCCTTTTTCTTTAACTTTGAAACCTAAACTGCATTCACAGAATATCAGGAACCTTTGGATGAACCTAAAAAGCACTGAGCTAACCCTGGTCATTTGAAATTTGGTACCCAGGTTACCAAAAGGTTGTAGAAACCAATTAAAGACTCACATCGCCTTTTTAAAACTAACCTAGTGCTCCAAATCCATATTAGCAGGTCCTAATACAAGGCTGATGGCTTGCTTCTTCAGTATCCTTCTTTCCCTTCATTTATAGCTTTTCCTAATAGCTCATCTAATTTATGCCTGGATCCTGAAATAAAATCTACTTATGAGGAACTTTATGCCCATTGCTCCACACAAAATTCTTATTTAACACCCTGAAAATAAAAAAAATACATGATACTTTACACCTTGTTTACAAGACTAATCCTGTGAAGATAAACACCATAATTATTTATGAGAACCACTGAGATGGTTTGGGAAGATTTTTAATATATTTATTTTGTTAATGAAAATGGAAAGAACAAATTCCATTATGTCAGTGTGCATGCATCATAGTTTTAATCTCTCTTCATAAGCCAATTTCTCCAAAAGAAAAATTATTTTGTTTTTGTAGACAAGTTCCTAATTTGTCATTTTTCAAACTAAAGCCAGCAGAGTATTCTAGCATCATTTTTTACCATAGCAGTAAATGGAGGTGCTCTCATCTCTTTGGTGATATGCTATATTTCTGCATATCTAAGCCAATTACTTCTCTTCTTCCCCTCCTTCTGCCTTAACACATTTCACCCTTGTGTTCATTTTTTGTTCACAATCAGCCTCAGAGGTTTTCTGAATTCCTGATTCTCAAGTAGTTCCATTATATCAAAACACAGTGTTTCAGGTTATTTTTCTCTATGTTCTCTTGCATTTTTCCAGGCTGTGTTTCAACCTATTTCCTACCTTTCAGATGCAGAATTAGCTACAACTGTAATTCTGCATGCTACCACCTAACCCTCCCCAAACATGCACACACTTCCCCTAGATCATCAACAAACCATCAAAACAGTTAAGATGACTCTGCAACCAAAGCCAGTGGCCACATCCTGCAACCTGACCAGAGTGCTGTTCAGCCTCATAATACTTTGTTTATTGTTTTTAATGCCAGGTTTTCAGTCCATGTGACAATGTCAGTTAATTTCCTTAAATAAGGTTACTGTGAATTTTGTCAACTATGATTGATTTTTTTTTTCTTTAGAGAATAATTATTTCTAGCACTCCTTATTCTTCATGAGTATGTAGTGCATTACCAACCCTTTCTCTCTGTACAACACAATATTATCACAGCCTTGATTTAGTAAGATACTTAAAACATGTGCCTAATTTTAAGTACATGGGTATTCCATATTTGAATGCAACTGGAATTATATGCTTATAGTTCCAAACCCATATGCCTCAATTCGTGCTCAACTGGGCTCCAAATCTGCTGCAACACAGTTGTTTATATTTGCAGGGGAAAGGGAAATATTGTCCCTACATGTTGACTCGTTAACAAATGAAACAGGAAATTTATTCTTCGTATATGGTGCAAAATTATTTGTGAACAGATGGATAAATGCCAGGTAGTTAGGAAAAATGTTTGTAAATTCAAGAATTTCAGATGTTATAACAAAATGAATATTAATCTAGAAATCTGCTTCAAAATACATGTTACTCATTACAGGTTATTCATCGTTTGCCACATGACTGCTTAGCAAGTCTCAGTCATTTAAATTAAGAGTAATAGGAATATTAGTATACTTAGATTTTCATTTTGACGAGGATTTTATTGCTTCCTATGCCATACACAGCACACGCTAAATAAGCTCACAATATAAAAGTAAGTACAAAACAGGACCTGCAACACCGAAAATGAAGTGCAAATACACTTAAACATTCAAACCATCCATATGACGAAAATATATATCTTTTTAAGTGTTTTTTTCTAAATACTTTCAAATGATAACAATATATTTGTATACAGTAGGACTGATTCACAAAGAATGTGGGATCAATAAAGAGGGAGGAGAGTTACAAAAAGTGCAGCATATAGCATACTAATTAAAGTGCTAGTAACAGTGCAAGCCAGAAAAAAAATACCAATAGCAAATTGCAAATACTTACAGAGTGTTCAAATTCTTCAGTTTCCTAAAGGTGCCTGCTAGGATTTCTTGTATTCTGTTAAATCGCAAATCCCTAGGGGGGAAAAAAAAGAAAAGGAAACTTGATCATTCTATCTTACTTCCTAATAGTGAAGCATCTGAGGGGGTTGTTTCACTTTTAACAAGTTATACAGATGCACCTCTAGATCCTTCTCTTACATTCATGCTAGATCAGAGTTCCTGTGAGGGAAGAACAAAGGGTCAAAGCTGTTGTTTGTACATCTAGGCCATTAAAACTAGGGCCCCCACCACAGTAGCACTTTACTCCCCATTGTGCAGACAGTGTACCTCCTGGTAGAAATGTGGGAAGAGCTACTATTATGGTACCTCCTGTGAAAGTAGGTGACTTCAATGATACATTCTTTGGAAACTATATGACTGAGACAGGGCAATCCTCAACATGACAAATTAAGAATGCACACCTCACCATGGGCCTATCAGCTTGGGCTACTGCAAAGGCTACATGCAGTTTCACGTGACAAATACATTTATCAGAATTCTTTTTGCTAGTTTTATAAAGATTACAACTAAAAAGAGAAAATAAAACAAGTAAGGAATGCTTTATACTCTGTTTATACTAGCAACTGGAATAAAAACCCATTACAGCAACTGAACTAAAAAACCAAGTAAATAAAAACAGGAAGTTGCCTGGCTCTGTGATCACAATCACAGTGTCAGATTTCTTTTTTTTTAAAGAATACATATGTTTTTCTCTACCCTCAATGCAGCAGGAGATTTACTATTTTTAGACAAAAAGTACTTGAAAACCTGCTGAAAGAGCAGCTCCTGTTCACAGGAAGTATTTGCAATCTTGAATATGGTCCAATTCGCATCGTTTTAACAATTAGCACTGAACAAATATATTGTAGGGTAATAAACAATGGTTTCCTGTAAAAATACCAGAATGGTGAAAGGTAATGACTAAAGTTGTACCATTCAATATACCTTGATTCTAAAATGTTTCTTTTATATCACTTCACATAAAGTTACACCTACATTTTTTCATTAGCCCTACTTGTCTCATACTTCCTTCCTACCCCACGTCTGAATATCAATATAGGTCTGAGGCAGATATCTTTTATTAGGCCAACTCAAATAGTTGGAAAAATTCTTCTTAGCAAGCTTTTGCCCTTCCTCAGGCTGAGGAAGCATCTGCAAATGGCCTGTGCTCTTCCTGGATGGAGTGGTAAAGCAGTCAGAAGCCAGTACATATGCAAGAAAGCCAGTCAGTTAAAATGTAAATTGAGGTGGTCAAGTACATGAGACAGAGAGTTTACTTAGGGAGTCAGATGTCAGGCAGGTTAAAATGAGTCATAAATTCAATGTCTATATTAAGTCCATGATTTTTTCTATCCAGTAGGTTGATGAAGTGAAGTTTGTGGACTTGTCTGTGAAAGGTATTTTGTTAATTCCCTTTGAGGATTAGAACTGAGAGATTGGAGAGAGAGTGGTTGTCTGGTGAGAAATGTGCCCCCACAGGTCATTGAGTATTCTTGTCTTCGATAGATTTGTGCTGTGCATTCATTCTGGTGTGTGTGCTGTTGTTGTTTTGGAATATAGCTCTGATGCACTGGAAGCCTGTAGGATTAGGAAGGTTCAGTCTGAACTTTAACTCAGAAATTAAATAGCCTCTTAGGAGGGCTATCTCCCATAAAGAGCAATTAGAGGAATGTCTCCATCTCCCTCTTTCATTTCTGCATGTGTTGATTTTCTGCGTTTTTCATGCAGGCATGTTCTTTTCACAAGCTCTTTATTTTTCACTCATTTGCTAAGCCTCAAGAGAGACTACTCATCCAAGTACAGAGTGAGCTCCTTGACGACTTCTAACCACAGTCCGATTCTCAATGATTAGGGACAGCACAGCAAATCTCTTCTGAGGGAGCCAAGGAAACATGCATGCTAGATTTTTTTCCCTTTTATTTTAGCACACCGGCATTCTACTAATACTAATAAAATGCCCTCATGGAAACCATCTGGGTGAAACTAAACAGAATCACTGTTACAGAATGAACTTTCACAGAAACAATGATAAAGGACAGAAACAAGGTGGGGCAGTCAGACTTGATGATCTAATAGGTCCCTTCTGACCCTAACATCTATGAAACTATGAAACATGCATGAGGGAAAACTTTTCACAAAACAACTACTTACTTTTGGACCCCAAGGGAGGTCTATACAATGCCTTCCAAAGGCAGCCTTAAAACAAGAATTCATTATTTTACTGAACACTAAAAGCCGTGGGCTGAACAGAGACTGTTGCTTTATAGCTCACTGCAATTTACCTTCGTTCCTCACTAGCCTCTCTCTACTTCACAAGTAATAATGACCCTGTTTCCTTTGAAACAGTCTTTTACTTTTATACAGGCAAAAGGCAGGGTAGTGTGGCATGTTATAAACCAATGATTGTCATATCACCCTGGGGTGCCTGAAGAGCCTTTCAAGGGTGTCACAGGATGCCATGCAATGCTAGCCCTGCTGGTGTGAAAACAAGATTCACAAAATAAAACCAGAGATTTCAAATAGTAGTAAAAAGATTCTGCCCTGTTGTGATCTTTGCAAGAAAAGAATTCCTCTACTGTTTTTCTGTAGCCAAAAACAAAGCTAGTGAAAACAGCTGACATTTACCTAGGGATGCCCTGAGTCTACAAAAGGTTAAGAACCCCTGTTATAGACTAACTCAGAGAAGCAAGAGCTTTTGTAGGCTACAACCTACCTCATCAGATGCTATGACTGGACTATCAGGGCATGTCCCCACAAGCATACATTTGTGGTTCGTGATGCTGCAGACCCATCTGTGGAGCCACACATGCAGGCATTCACCATGCTGGAAATTTGCAGCGCGGTAGGTTTTTTTGACACCGGGAGATCTTGGTCTTAAAAACCCATTCCAGAAAAAAGTGGGGTAGTGCACTTGGCAGCTTGTATGGCTTAAAATTGGGGTCTGGCTGGCCAGAGACATGCTTTGGCTGCCAGTCAAGCTCTGCATGCCTGGATCGCTGCTGCTGGAGTCCTGGGAGGCCCCCAGGAACCCCGGTAAGACTATAGGCACCAGCCTCCCCTACCCTACCAGGGCAACTTGCCACGCACCAGAGCACACATGCAGGGGCATTGCCCATAAATATGTGCTGCTCCTAGTTGTCCCTGGGGAATGCAGTTTCCTGCCCTGCTCATGGGGACATGCCCTCAGAAAGCAGAGATACTAAACGAAGGAATAACATCATAGGAATTTAGGGATAAAAGGGAACTCAGGGGGTTATCTAGTCCAACACCCTGCTCAAAGCAGGACCATCCCCAACTACATCATCCCAGCCAGAGCTTTGTTGAGCCGGGTCTTAAAAACCTCCAAGGATGGAGATTCCACCACCTCTCTGGGTAACCTGTTCCAGTGCTTCACCACCGTCCTAGTGAGAAAGCTTTTCCTAATATCCAACCTAAACCTCCCTTGCTGTGACTTGAGACCATTGCTCCTTGTTCTGTCATCTATCACCACTAAAAACAGTCTAGCTCCATTCTCTTTGGAACCACCTTTGAGGTAGTTAAAAGCTGCTATCAAATCCCCCTTCAGTTTTCTTTCCTCCAAGCTAAATAGGCCCAGTTCCCTCAGCCTCTTCTCAGAAGTCATGTGCCCCAACCCTCTCACCATTTTTGTTGCCCTTCAGTGGACTCTCTCCAAATTGTCCACATCCTTTCTATAGTGGGCGGACACAGTACTCCAGATGTTGCCTCACCAATGCAGAATAGAGGGGAATAATTATTTCCCTTGATCTTCTGGTAACACTCCTACTAATGTAGCCCAGTATGCTGTTAGCCTTTTTGGCAACAAGAGCACACTGCTGACTCATATTCAGTTTTTTGTCCACTATAACCCCAGGTCCTTTTCTTCAGAGCTTCTGCTTAGCCAGCTGGTCCCAAGCCCATAGCAGTGCATGAGATTATTCTGTCCTAAATGCAGGACTTTGTACTTGTCCTTATTGACCCTCATGAGATTTCTTTTGGTCCAATCCTCCAATTTATCTAGGTCACTGAATCCTAGCTCTACCCCTCCAGTGTATTTACTACACCTCCAGCTTGGTGTCATCCTCCCCAACTTGCTTAGGTTGCAATCCATCCCTTCCTTCCAGATTGTTAATGAAAATACTGAACGAAACCGGCCCCAGGGCTGACACCTGGGGCACTCCACTTGATACTGCCTGCCAAGTAGACATTGAGCCATTGATTACTACCCATTAAACCTGATGATCCAGCCAGCTTTCTTTCCCCCTTAAAGTTCATTCATCCAACCCATACTTCCTCAGCTTGGTTGCAAGAATGTTGTGGGAGATGGTATCAAAAGCCTTGCTAAAGTCAAGATATATCATGTCCACTGTTTTCCCCACATCCACAGAGCCAGTTATCTCATCATAAAAGGCAATCAGGCTGGTAAGGCATGACTTGCCCTTAGTGAATCCATGCTGACTATTCCTGATAATTTTCTTCTGCTCCAAGTGCTTAGAAATGGATTCTTTGAGGACCTGCTCCATGATTTCTCCAGGGACTGAGGTGAGGCTGACTGGTTTGTAGTTCCCTGGATCCTCCTTCTTCTCTTTCTTGAAGATGGGCACTATATTTGCCCTTTTCCAATCATTCAGGATCTCTCCAAATCACCACGAGTTTTCAAAGATAATGGCCAGTGACTCTGAAATCACATCAGCCAGTGCCCTCAGCACCCTTGGATGCATTGCATCCGGCCCCATGTCCAGCTTTTCTAAATAGTCCCTAACCTGTTCTTTCACCACTGAAGGCTGCTGACCTCTCCAAACTGTGCTGACCTTTCTATAATTCTAAATTAATTTAAATACAAAGGATAG